AGTGTGCGATAAAAGTTACATCAGCAAATGGTCCCTTAAAAAACATTTGGAGTTGCATTACAAAACAAGTCCGCCGAAGGACCTTCAGGAAGCATCTCAGCTTGATCAGAAATGTTAAGGTGTCTTTGTCACTTGTGGGTGAAGAAACGGGACACCATCAGGGTTGGAGGTCTCTTGGAACAGGTCTGGGTTGAAACATCCACCTTTAAAATTCCCAGGTTCTTTCTATACCCAGTGACTAGCTACCTCAGAAACAGATTTTTGAATGTACTCTTTACCTTTCCAATCTCGAATCATTCAGACAACTTTGCTCCAGAAATGAGCACCCATGTCATGAAGAGCCTATAATAAAAGAGGCTCTGTTTATTTTGAATGAGTGGACCTGACTGAGAACTTGGGATGCTGGAAAAAAAATGATTAAGAGCATCAATGATCATATAGTTTGGAGTGATGGCAATGATAAGTGCAAGCTGCCTTTCGTTTTCTTAGCATTGTATTCACATTGTAAAAAGCAAATTTTGTGTTAAAATCATTCCTCTTCTGCAGTGTACGTATATAAAGGGGGGGAAAAAAAAGACACAGGACAATTATTTTAAGAAGTGTGGGTGAGAAAGCTATAGTCTTGTTTTTCATAATGAAAATACTACTGGTTTGTGCAGTGAATGAAAAACGGATGAAATACATGTTGTTTTTCCAATGCACTTTTTGCATCGCCAAGAAGACATTCAAGGGTCAAATATATTCTAAATCTTCCAAATGTTAGGAATTCGCATTTTGGGATCTGTTAGTAAATAATACAGAACAGTTTTCTGTACGTTTTAGAACATGTTTTAAATTGAAAGCCATTTTGTTTTGCTGTTGGTAAAAGTATCAATTCAGAAGTTCATTGACACCCTCTCTCTCTTGCCTCCTAGTACCACTGCCATATTACACTGTGTATAGGGAAGAAGGAATCTCAAGTTATTGGAGCTGCAAGGAAGATGCAGGCCTTGCCTTAAACAGGGGAGATCTGCTAGTATGCACTCTTGGTTGCAAGTAGAAGTTTTACAGACAAACATGAAAAGTTAAGTTTCTTGGACGATGTCCCTACCATTATCCGTTATGCCTGCTTGAGATGATAGGAGCTGTGAAGATCTGAAGTCACAAGAATTGAAAAATTATAGTGTCATACCAAATACCGAAATGCAAAATCAGAATTCTCTTATTAATTTTTTTTAATAATGTGGAAACGGCCCAGTGGCAACGGTGAATAAGAAATACTGAAGTATAAAGTCAGAAAAGTTGGATTTAAAAAAAATATATGTAAGGACCCTAAAATAATTGATTGTATGAAGTCTGTTTTAAACGAAAACTTTGTCAGTCGGGAATCTTGCATGGACATTTTATGACTCTAGCTGTTTTATTGGGAGAATTGCAATTTGCTACAGGTTATCAAGTAAAGCGTGAGTTGCATCATTTCCAGTGTCAGTTCATTATAAAATGTTTGTTTTCTGCAGCCATTTTCTGGATTTTGTTTGGGGTGAGATGAATAATTAGAGTCAAAAGACAAACATCTTTTCCATGTGCCATCACTCAACAGAGCTGAAGAAAAAAGTGCCTGTGAAAAGGTGATTTGTTTTCACTGGCAATCTAGAGGCCGCTGCATTTCTAGCTGAAATAATGGAGGAATTAAGAGGAGCATACAGGTAGTCCTTGACTTACAACAGTTCATTTAGTGACCGTTACAACAGCCCCCCAAAAAATGACATGCCCATTTTTCACACTTATAACTGTTGCAGCATCCCAATGGACACGTGATTTACATTCAGATGCTTGACAGCTGGTTCATATTTATGACAGTTGCAGTATCTAGGGGTCATGCTTTTGTGAACTTCTGACAAGCAAAGTCAACGGGGAAGCAAAATTCGCTTAAACAATGGTATTACTAATTTAACAACTGCAGCGATCCACTTAATAAACATGGCAGGAAAAGTCGTAAAATGGGTCAAAACTCGCTTAACAAATTTCTCAGCAATATAAATGTCGGGTTCAATTGTGGTCATAAGTCGAAGATTACCTGTACTGTATTGCAGTGTTTCTCAGCTTTTAAGATGCATGGACTTCAACTCCCAGAATTCCCCAATCAACCCACGTCTCTTAAAAGTTGCCAAGATTGATAAATACTGCTGTATTGCTTTGTCTTCCTGAGCCAATCAAGGGAGGTTTACACTGAGTTTTCTTCAGAGTTGTAACTGTATCAACACTTGGACAGTTTGTAGTTTGTAACGTCAGATCAGTGCTTTTCAAACTTGGCAACTTTAGGATATGTAGGCTTCGACTGACAACAGTATTGCCCAGCCAGCATGGATCTCATGCTGACATGAGTATCATGACAAGGATAGAACAGAATTCTTTATTGGCCAAGTGTGATTGGACACACAAGGAATTTGTCTTGGTCCATACGCTCTCAGTGTACATAAAAGAAAAGATACGTTCATCAAGAATCATAAGGTACAATACTTAATGGTAGTCATAGGGAACAAATAAGCAATCAAATCATATTAGGAAACAGTCAATATAAATCATAAGGATACAAGCAACAGGGTTACAGTCATACAGTCATTAGTGGAAGGAGATGGGTGGTGGGAACAATGAAGATTAATAGTAGTGCAGACTTAGTGAATAGTTTGACAGTGTTGAGGGAATTATTTGTTTAGCAGAGTGATGGCATTTGGGAAAAAACCGTTCTTGTGTCTAGTTCTAGTGTGCAGTGCTCTATAGTGTCATTTTGAGGGTTGAAACAGTTTATGTCCAGGATGTGAGGGGTCTGTAAATATTTTCACAGCCCTCTTTTTGACTCATGCAGTATACAGGTCCTCAATGGAAGGCAGGTTGGTAGCAATTGTTTTTTCTGCAGTTCTAATTATCCTCTGAAGTCTGTGTCTGTCTTGTTGGGTTGCAGAACCAAACCAGACAGTTATAGAGGTGCAGATGGCAAGACACAATAATTCCTCTGTAGAACTGTATCAGCAGCTCTTTGGGGCGGATTGGGCGGATATTAAGATTCTGGTTTTCTCTGCAAAATAGAGTTGAGTTTGGTTTGTGTGTGCAGAGGAGCACGTGCCCTGTTGTGGGATTCAGTATTGTCGTACGCCACCTGGATTGGAATTTCATCTGTTTGGAATAAGCATTAATTAGTGAACACAACCCATGCTGTCTGAAGCCAGGAAATCTCACCCTGTTTCTGCGGATTTTGGTCATTCTAATTTCATTAGCCAGATGAGTTGAGGATTCTGTTTGGAAATTACTTCTGAAGGGCACCATGCTGGGAAGGATAACATTTGGGTGATCTACTTTCCACTTTGCATTGGAAAATTCTGCAGAAGTCCAGGAAATTATCCTGCAAATAAATACAAAAGCTAACTTTTGTCCGTAGTGCTGTCCTTCTTGACCCTTAAAATCTGCTCAATTTTCTTTGCCACCCTGTTGCCCGAGACAGCAAATCTGTCCACATTTTGGACAGATAGGACCGCTGGTTTGAAAAGGGTCAAAGAGGCCATCTACATCAAAATTGAACAGCCCTCTCTCAACAGAAGGGGAAGGATACTACATCTATCTCCAGGCCACCACACAGTCCTTTCAACAGTTCCAAGAAGGCTCCACACCCATTTGCACCATTCAGGTGACCCTGAGGACATTAAGATAAACCTCTGACCCGCTAAAAGAATGCAAATGTCCAGCTGGCTGCAAGGAGTGTAAATCCTTCCATTCCCCACCATCCAGTCAAAACTGAAGAAGCTTCTTGGATGAGAAGCAAAATATCTTCAAAGAAAAAGTAGAAAGGCCTCTTGGAAAAAGCACCTTTGGCACTGTTACCCGAGATTTATCCTTCTCTCACTGATGTGCTCTGGGTCTACAAGTAGTCAACTTACAGCCATTTGCTTAGTGACGGTTTGAAGTTACAATGTATTGAAAAAAGTGACTGATAACCAGTTCCCACATTTAACTATCATTGAAATATCCCCAGGATCACATAATCAAAACTTCAGGCTCTTGGCAACTGGCGTTTATGACTGTTGCATTGTCCCAGAGTCGTGATCACCATTTGTAACCATCCCAGCTGGCTTCCAACAAGCAAATCAATGGAGGAAGCTAGATTCACTTAACAACCACATTATTCACTTAACAACCACAGCAATTCACTCAACTGACAAAAAGACCATAAAATGGGGCAAAACTCACTTAACTGCCTTGCTTAGGAACAAATATTTTAGCCTCAATTGTGGTCGTAAGTCGAGGACTACCTGTATTCTGAAATCTCAAGTCTCGCGGTCCAAGCCATGTTAGTTGCCAATCTAGGAAATGCCATTTCAAACTACCTGCAGAACATTAGGGGAACTTATTTCAAAGCTTTTAAGGGAATTGGGGAAAACCTGATAGTGACGGGGCTGCAGTTAGTGAGTAAAAGTGTGGTTTTATTAGGAAGCATTTTTCCTTTTATTTATTCATTATGCTAAGCTATTTTAAGGTTTACAGTATCTGCAGCTCTATATCAGTTAGAAAGTGATACCGCATTGATATTTTAACTGGTTAAACCAGTGTTTTCCAATCGTAGCCATTTTAAGAAGTATGGACTTCAACTCCCAGAATGCCTCAGCTGGGATATTCTGGGAATTGAAGTTCACCCATCTTAAAATGGCTGAGGGTGGGAAACACTGGGTTAAAGGAAGTGCTGCTTCATATTGGTCACCCCTGATGTGGAGGGTCACATGATGGCCACAAACTTGTGATTGAAGCCCCACCTCCTTTTTAACATGCAAAAGGGATGGGGTTGAATTGTATGGATCATGGCCACCATCTTCACTTTTTTAGTCTTTCCCCACAGATGCATAATTTTTCTCCCAGCCAATTTTGAGGCCAACTTTAAGAACCGTGCTATGTTCAAGAGTACAGATTCTGATAGATGTGGCTGTGCTCTCCTAGCCCAAGCCGGCTGGCTATTCTTTAAAAGAAAAGGGGGGGGAATATCTCTCCTGCCATATTTTTGGCTGGGTTCTACTTTGCCAATAAGAGAAAGATGGATTATGGAGCCATTTCAGCCTCATGTCTTCATAACCAGAGGCTTTCTTGGAGATTAACCATTCCAGATCCAGATGTAAAGTCTTAAGTTTCTCAATACAAACCCGACATGGGTTCAAACTTTACATGAGCGTGCTGGGCCAATACAAGCCTATTTAATCAGAATAAGGCCATAAACAGCTCTTGTGACATCACATTTCATTGTGGAGTTTTATAACATAATGACGGAAACACCTTTTGAGAGAAAATGATGTATCCTTTGTGCAAGAGCTTTGACACTACTAGAAAATATCTTTGTTGATGTTGCATTTAAATGCACTTTCCACTATTGCAGTGCATTTCACAAATGAAGCAGGAACCGTGGGCACCTGCCGGGCAAACAACATTGCAAAAAGGTGTACAGAGTGCTCCAGAGCAGAGGTCACCATCCCCCGGTCTGTAAACGCAGTATAGGTCCATGGCATGCCAGAAACCGGGCCACGCAAATAAGCGAAGCCCCATCCACGGGATGCAGACAGCGTACGAAACCACACACACCCCGGTCCACGGAAAAACCACGAACCGGGCAGAAGGTTGGATTAGAAAACCTCCAAGCCCTATATATTATGTGATTCTGTAATGCACATGATATTTAGAGTGACAATGAAGTTGTCAGGGTTCCAAGTAATACATCCACAGCAAACAGAACTCCGAGGCAGGTAGATTCTTCGAAGAACATTTTTATTGAATATATCATATTGGCACAGAGTGGTGAAAACCGAGTCTAAAGGTTCCCATGGTTTTCACCTAATTAAAAGTTTTTTCCCAAACGATCAGTCACATGGTCCAATCAAGGCACTGTCCGGTTGCTTGGAAACTTCACTCCTGTCTTCACCCACCCACATTCGTCCTTGGTTCTCAGGGGAAACTATTTTGTTTTGGCTACAAAACCCCAGCTATCTCTAATCCCCCCCCCTCCCTATCCCTCAGCACCATTGTGGCAACACTAAAGCCTCCAAGATGGCCTCAGTCAGGCTAGCTTCAGAGTTGAGGGAAGTCAGAAATACCTGTTAAGATTATCAGATGATGCCACCCCTTTTTCAATTGGTTCTCCAGGTTTCATCATTTTACAATGATGTTTACAAAGAGTAAACGCTGATGCAAAAAAATTAAATTCTGTTTCCCACACAGTCCATTCCCCCAAGTTTCAATTTTTGATTATATGACTCAAGGTTCATTTGATTTGTAAACTGTGATCAGTAGTATATGTGTATTCACAAAAAAACTGCCTATTCCCTTGTGGACTTGTGCACGTGTTTATATATATATATGAGGCACTCTGTTCTCTCTACCAACAACTGGAGCCTGTGACAGTGGAAGGAGAGAGCTTTTCCAGAGATGGCACATCACTGCAGAACAATTTTTTCACATATCATTTCTCTTTACTGCCAAGGAAAGACCATCCTGATCATTCTTGTAGGCTTTAATAAGTAATTTTATTTCTGCTTTTACGGAAGGTTTTGCTTCGCTTTTATGGGCTTTGCCAAACAGGAACTTCCAAAGGTGCTTTTTCCAAAAGGAAACTGGACTTTTGTTTTTTCTTTGAAAACGTTTCATTTCTCACCCAAGAAGCTTCTTCAGTTCTGAATTAAAGAATACCATGCGTATTCCAACTAAGAGCATTTTGATTTGGGTTTTGGAGGTCAACCTGTAAAAATCATAATAATATCAAATAGGAAGATAGTGGGACAAGTTTCGTGACCTTTGCACGGAAGCTGGAATTCAAGGTTCAAGCTAATAGAAGAAAACCCCTTTTAATTTATCACAGAGAGGCCACAATAATATGTACATCATATTAGAAAAACTATTTGGGAAATGATCCTGTGCAACGGGATATGTTGGGTTGCATCTATCTGGAAATTTCAAGAGCTTGAAAGCAAAATTGACTAATTGGGTTTGTCATGCTGGGTTAAAATTGACTGGCTCGCTTGTGCTTGGATTGGACCAATGCACCAGGCAAATTGTGTTAATTCAGTAAGACTGCATTCACTTAACCAAAAATTAGCTGGCAAACGGCCTGAAATGATTCTAGCCTTGCAATCAGTAAGTAAACTGAGCTTTCCAGGTGACCTTTTAGAAACTTCCTAATTCTATGAAATTAATAGAAATGAAGCAACCTAATAAAATCTCAGGAGCTACTTGCACACTCCAATATTATGTACAGTTGGTCCTTGATTTATGACAACTGAACCCCAAATTTATGTTGTTAAGTGAAACATTCGTTAAGGGAGTTTTGCCCCATTTTATGACTTTTCTTGCCACAGTTAAATGAATCACTGTAGTCGGTGATGTTAGTAACATGGTTGTTAAGTGAATCAGGCTTCCCCATTGATTTTGCTTTTCAAAACTTTGAAAAGGTGATCACATGACCTTGGGACACAGCAACAAACCAGTTGCCAAGCATCTGAATTTTTTATATATATAATTTTTTTTATTTTTAAATGTAGTAATTTCATCTTCAATTAAACAGTGTGTCATCCGGGTACAAATATCTTTGTAAAATAATAATCAAATAATCCAGTGTTTACAGCAATATTCATTACATTAACATTAATTCTATAATATTAAAATAATAATATTAAACATAATCATATTTGCTTCTCTCTCTTAACATATCTTCTTTATTTCACTAATCTTTTTCTTTTGTTTCCCTGTTTCTAATTTCCATTTTTATTATCTAACCATTGATAAAATAAGTCCCATGTCATGTAATATTCAGTTTGTCCTTTTTCCTTAATTGCTAGCGTTACTCTATTCATTTCTGCACATTCTAATATTTTCCTGATCACATTCTCATCTGTGGGGATCTCTTCACTTTATCAATTTTGTGCAAACACAACTCTTGCTGCAGTTAATATACTATATGAATAATTAGATATGCATTTCCCTTACTATATTTTTCGGGTAAAATCCCCAACAAGAATATTTCTGGCTTTAAGTCAATGTGCTGCTTTATCATTTTTTCCAGCCAAGCATCTGAATTTTGATCCCATGGTCATGGGATTCTGCTACAAAGTGGTGTGAAAAATGGTTATAAGCAGTGATAGGATTCAGCCAGTTCGCACCACTTCGGGAGAACCGGTTGTTAACTTTCTGAGCAGTTTGGCAAACTGGTTGTTGGAAGAAATCATTACGGCAGAGAACCAGTTGTTAAATTACTTGAATCCCACCACTAATCATAAGTCACTTTTTTTCAGTGCTGTTGTAACTTGGAACGGTCACTAAATGAACTGTTGTAAATCGAGGACTACCTGTATTACTACTAGAAGTACCAAGTTTTTTGAATCTGAATTATTAGCCCAGGAACAGAAGAGACAGTGTAAACAAAAAGGGACCCATGCCCACATACCTAGAAAATGCTTTTCTGGCTTCTCAGGTGGAGCAAAGGGCAGGGATTTTGTCAGCCATGAAAAGATGAACTGGGGGAATAAAAAGCTTCACCAGACATGTTTCTTATTCCCACGGGAGACCAACATGCTTAGATTTGAATGGCCCACTGCAATCCGAGACGTTGGCGTGTGCAAAAATTAGGAGAGGAATCGAGGGCAGGCAAGGAGCGTTTTCTTTGCATTTTCACAAGGCTGGGATATTCCGCACCTGTTGATTTCCCACCTGCCGCCCCGTCGGGGCCCGCAGGAAGCCAAAGGGGCCATCTTGGCTCGCCGCCAGAGGGCTCCGGCTCCAGCTTTTTCCCCGCCGCCCGAGGCTATTGGCCGGTTAGCTGCCTGCTGGCCCAGACGAGGGCTGCGCGGGGCGGGAAGAGCGGCATGAGGCTGCCTGGAGACGGGGCAAGAAACGCGGGACTGAGGGAAAGGCTCCCTGCGCCTCCTTTGCGGAGCGGCGCCAGCCCGGCTCGCCTTGATTTGGCGCCTTCGTGGTCCCAGGTGAGTGAAGCGAGGGTGCCCCGCGCAGCCACAAAATCCAGCGCCCCGAAGGGGAAAACCTGCGAAGCGGCAGTAGAGCCTTTCCCCAAAAACGCCCGACTGCGAAAGAAGGGGGGTTTGAGGAAGCGGGGTGGGGGTGAGGTGAGGGAGGGGATAATTTTGGACGCCGACGCCGCTGCTTGAAGGGGTTGCGTTTGGAAAGCACCGGGACTGGGTCGGACGGGAGCGGAGGAGCTCTTTCCCGTCGTTCAGGCTTCCTGAAGGGGCCACAAGGCGCGTGGCAGCAAAAATTCGGGTTTTAAAAATCTAAAAGGAAAGGGAAGTAGGATGAGGTAGGAGAGGAGGAAGGAGAAAAGAGGAGAGGAGAGGAGGGAGGGAAGGGAAAGAAAGGAGGAGGAGGAGAAGAAGGTTTGTTGCGAAATGAGGGAAGAAAGAGAAGAAGAGCAACTCCGAATGTAATTAAAATGCCTTATTTTAATGCTTTCTTTAAGGAAAACATGTATATGTAGGATTTATTATGTATAAGAAAATGTACATTTTCTATTATGTGTATAAGAAATAAAACCGAAAAAACTTTTCCAAAAAAAAAAAAAATCTTTTTGCCGCGGTTCCTTTTTCCGCCCGGATTGTAGCCCTTGGATAGGATAACTTTAATCCGGACAAGAGACCCAATTTGGTGAAGCATCCGGTAGAAACCCGGGAGACAAAGTCAGCTGGGTGACGCCGGGCCAGTCCCTCTCTCTCAGCCCTAGGAAAGTGGGAATAGCAAACCACTCCTGAAAAAGTTTGCCAAACAAACTTACAAGGAGTCCTAAATCCCATCCAGGACAAATGGTTGTCCGATCTTTTTTGGAAAACCCTGCAGGGATGGCCCACTCACAATTGAACTGAACCAAGAGTTCATAGAATATTAACCAAGCCTGTTGCTTTTTTGCCCAGCCTATTAAGTCCCTGAGTAGTGTACAGATTGAGCAGTATAATGACCGCAATTGGGGTTGGACTAGAAGACCTCAAAGGTCCCTTCTCACCCTGTGATTCTGTGACTTCTATAGGCAGTCTCTGAGAATCAGACACGGACCACTTAGAATAACTTTATTGTCACTTTGAATGTACACTAATTGGCATACATTAAAATGAATACCCATGGAACTTGCCAGGTTTGGCAAATAATGCACGGGTTAGCAGAGGACAGCTGGAGAAAGACAAATTCTGAATGTTTTCCTTCTTACGTTTCAACAGGCTTTAAAATATACGACTGGTTGGCTTCGGGATCAGTCCAAATTCGTGGAGGAAAGATGGCTGTTGCAGATGTGGCTCTAGTAAGAGATGCAGAGATGGGGAACAAAGAGCTTGTAGAGTGGGAGGGGAAAAGGATTTGAGCTGGGAGTTGAGCTGTTCAGGGGTTCAACTGGGCTACTAGATCTGGGAGTGAAAATCTTGACAAATGGGATTCATGCAAAATAGTTATTTGTATATATTAAAAATTAAGTGGCTTGGTTATGTTCATTTTGGTTTGTGTTCCTCTGTTTCCAAGTAGTGGTATAAGCCGCATCTATCCTAGCGTGATAGTGCCTAAATCACATACTGAAGATTATCTTCTGTCCTTGAAAGATGAAGGTGCTAAAACAAAACCAGTATTGGTGTTTGTTGCAGGTATTTGGATCCTTGTCAACAATGTCTGGATTCTCTGCATATGCTAAGCCATATTGTACTGTTTATGGCTTGTTTGTGGCAGATTGTGTAAATTGGCCCTTGTGACTACTGTGACATAGTTAAACTGTAGTCAGGCTATTTGTGGCTTATTCAGACAACTATGGTGAAGAAAATCTTGTTTAATCTATCTGCTCCACGGAAATAGTCAGCATTGAAGTAATATTCTTTGCAGAGTTCTGTGCATATATTAATTATGTAGTAGAGCTTGAGGAAAACTTTTCTTAGCCAGTGATGATTTATTGATCAACCTTAGCTAAAGATATCATAAATTAGTGCAAATTCTGTCGAGCAAGCCATAAACACTCAGAAAATTACCGGTAGTTCTATCTGTCTACCTCTCAAATGGATGAGGAGAAATTTAAAGAATGAAGGTAGCCATTCTATCTCCCAAGGTGCCGTAACAGGTATTTTCCCCTTGATTTAAGGACCATATTCAGATATTTAAAATGGAATGTGACCTACCTGGAATAAACCACCATAAATCTGAAAAAAAAAACTCTTATGCTAATTTCTTGCAACCTGATATCATTCAAATGCATTTGACTACAATCCCATAATCAAGCTAATTTGCAATAGCAATAGAACACAAACTTCTATAATTCTAATAGTCCAATTCCTACAAAATGGGCCTTAGATATAGTATTCACATTTGTTAAAAAGAAGTGATACAGGACTTTTCCTGTGTTGGTAGGAGTTGACCTTTGAGATTGCTGTAATTTATTTTATGTAATTTCCCTTTTGTAAATGTGAGTTTTCCTAGTGATGTTCCTTTACTTAGTTTTTAGTACAGAGCATTACAGTGTTAAAGAATAAATGAGGAACAGATAAATCCCCTTAGTGATGTCTTCTGTCTTTTAGGCATTGTAGAAGGACAGCCATGCTAGTCTTCATTAGCCAAAAATCAAAAGGACTTTGGCAGCATCTTTTTCAATCAAAACATTTTGTTAAAAGTCATAAACTTTTGTGAGCTGCAACTTGCTTCATCAGGTCCATCTAGTATCTTTTATTATTACTATTATTTTGGTATATTAGTTACACTGAAAAGATACTCCTGGATTCCTGATTTTCTTCTACGATTTAATGTGATTTGAAAAGAGTTTTGAAGTACTGAGTGAAAATCCTGCATATATGCATTAATGTAGGTGCAGGAATTCAAGAAAAGATAATTCCCTTGGATCACTGAAGGAATACGTCTCTTGCTGCTTTGCTAGTTTAATTTTTCATTTTTGTGTGTGTGGAAATCCATTGGGAGGTCACATTTCTAAAGACTTATACAAACACATCTAATGCACAAAGTACTATGCAGCTGACTTGGACACTTTAAAGGCATTTTTAAAAGCTAAGATACATCTATTTTTATTGTGTTTTCATATTGTGAAGCTAATCGTAATTAGGGCAATTTTACACAGCATAATTTCTTGTTTATACCTTAAAGAAGAATACAAGTAATCTGCAATCTGGATCACAACATTGCCACTTCTACACATTCTTTAAATTAGATGCTACTTTATATTGAGCTAGAATCCAGTAGGTTGTAGCTTTTCGTATTTAGATGTATAATTGGGGAATCTCCCCTTTAGATTGCTGCCTATTATGCACTCCTTAGCATGCAGCATTTAAGAGTCTGTGCATAAAAAAAGGGGAGGATTATCAGCAAGATTTGCTTCCTGGGTGATTTCCTTTAAGCCCCAGGATATATTGAGATGGCTGCTATTGCTCTGGAAGTCATTTAAATCACTCTTTTTTTTCCCCCCTTAAAGATTGCCAGGTTCAGGCTATGCAAGGTGGCATTATTCTCTCCAAAGGAGAACAAAGGCTTTTCTAAACATGCTTACTTGAATTGATACCAATAAAGGAAAATATTTGCAGCTCAGGGTTGAAATGGGGAGTCCTTGGTAGTATCTTGGTTGTTTTCTTGCAGAAGTTTCATTACCCAAACTAGGTACCATCATTAGCAGTGCTACTATTGTGCTAGGATTAGCACTGATGATGTTATCTAATTTGGGTAATGAAATGTCTGCAGGAAAAGAACCAAGCTCAGAGAGCACCAAGGACCCTGTGCTTGAACTGAGTCCTTTGTGTTTCAGGGAGGTTTACTCACAAGTAAAAATAGCTAGGATTTCATCCTGAATGCATTTACAGTTCAGATGGGCAGTTAAACATCCTATGGATGCTTGCCAAGCTTACTACCTATCTGATCTTAAAACACACACAATAAACAAGGAGGAAATGGTCATATTGCAATGCCCCAACTTTTCAGCTCATATTTATTTGCAGCAACATTCTCAAAATGCCCCATAGGAATAGTATAGAGCAGTGATAGCTAACCTTTTTGGTGCCGAGTGCCAAAAGCATGCACTCATACCCATAATGCAATGCGGGCTCGACCCTTCTGCCCCCTGCGCATGTATGCATGACCCCTGCGCATTCACACATGATCCCCTTGTGCGCCCCACCTCCCACGCATGCCACGTGACCCCCCACAGGTGTGACCCATCCCCTGCACATGCGTGGCCCATCTGCATGCGCCCCGCCCCTTGCACACGTGTGGCAGAGACCCAGAACCAGCTGGTGGGTGGGAGGCATGCGCACATGCATGGCAGAGCTGAGCTGGGGCGACGGATCACGTGCCCGCAGAGAGGGCTCTATGTGCCACGTGTGGCACATGTGCCATAGGTTCACCATCCCGGGTATAGAGAGTTGATGAAGAGAATTCAGGCCTCCTGGTGAGAGGATCCATATGCATTTTGTGAGAAGAAAATATTTCAGGAGCCATTCTGGGCATGCCTATTGCATCCTGTCAAAATCATAAACTGGTTCCCATCCCCAAAAGTTTGCTTATCCTTCCTTAAGTCATATGACGCTTTTTCAATTGGCCATTACCTTTAATTACATAAATACATATAATACATGCTTATTTCATTCTACAAATTAATGTTGATATGGTAATTTATTGGTGAATATAAAACCCGTTCGATCCAGCAGCTAAGGCACCACACTAGAAACCAGGAGACAAGTTCTAGTCCTGCTTTAGGCATCAAACCTGGCAGGAGGACTTTAGGACAATCATACTCTCTCAGTCCAACCTACCTCGCAGGGTTGTTGTTGCGATGAAAATAGTAGGAAGTATGAATATTAAGTATGTTCACCAACTTGAGTTGTTTATAAAATTAATAAACCAGCATAGGCATAAATAAAAGGCTTATAATAGAGTGTGATCCCACTCATACTCTGGTTTATAGTTTGAGGTGAAGCTTATTCAACAAACCATGATTTAGAACCCACTGCATAGTGAGATGTGTCACCCCTGAACCAGGCTTCTGATGGCTGACGTTTAGAATAGAATAGAATTCTTTATTGTCCAAGTGCGATTGGACACAAAAGGAATTTGTCTTTGGTGTCTATGCTCTCAGTGTACATGAGGAGAATAAAATACATTCATCAAGAATAAAAAGATAACAACAGTGATAGTCAACGTTACTAATAAGCTATCAAATTGTACTAGGAAACAAGTAAAAACAATATAAATTGAAAGATACAAGCACATGGTTATAGTAATGTGAGAAGAGATAGATACTAGTAAGCTCTGCAACCCAACAAGACAGAAACAGACTTCAGAGGATAATTAGAACTGCAGAAAAAACAATTGCTATCAATCTGCCTTCCATTGAGGACCTGTATACTGCACAAATCAAAAAGAGGGCTGTGAAAATATCTACAGACCCCTCACATCCCTGGACATAAACCGTTTCAACTCCTACCCTCAAAACGACGCTATAGAGCACTGCACACCAGAACAACTAGCTACAAGGACAGTTTTTCCCCGAATGCCATCATTCTGCTAAACAAATAATTCCCTCAACACTGTCAAACTAGTTACTAAGTCTGCACTACTATTAATCTTCTCATCGTTCCCATCACCCATCTCTTTCCACTTATGACTGTAATTTTGTTGCTTGTATCCTTACGATTTATATTGATATTGTTTTCCTGATTGCTTATTTGTACCCTATGACTATCATTAAGTGTTGTACCTTATGATTCTTGACAAGAATCATAAGTATTAAATCATAAAAAAAAAGTATTTTTTCTTTTATGTACACTTGAGAGCGTATGCACCAAGACAATTTCCTTGTGTGTCGAATCACACTTGGCAAATAAAAAATTCCTATTCTATTCTATTCTATTCTATTCTATTCTATTCTATTCTATTCTATTCTATTCTATTCTATTCTATTCTATTCTATTCTATTCTATTCTAAGGAAGAGAAGAATAATAGTAATTCACTTTTAGTAAATTATTTGACAGTGTTGTGGGAATTAGTTGTTCAGCAGAGTGATGGCATTTGGGAAAAAACTGTTCTTGTGTCTAGTTGTTCTAGTGTGCAGTGCCCTATAGCATCGTTTTGAGGGTAGGAGTTGAAACAATTTATGTCCAGGATGTGAGGGGTCTGTACAGTTTCCTAAAGAATAACCGATGTTCCTCTTTTGGCTCAAGGTCCCAGAAGCCTTTATGGAGGTGACTGTGTGTTCAAGTGATGTGCAGCACACACATTTGGGTCGCCGACAGAAAACCACCTACAAGAATAGCGTACAGGGGAACTACTTGACCGCAGCTGCCATAGGTAAGGTCTACAGAACGATAACTAGATGTGGTTGAAATCAATGAACCATTAGCACAAGCTGTGTTCTTCTCCATGTCCTAATGGAAAACTTTAAATGGTTATCATTTTCAAAGCTAGGTAGTCCTTCACTTAAACAGTTCATTTAGTGACTGCTTGAAGTTACAATAGCATTGGAAAAAAGTGACTTATGACCATTTTTCATACTTAGGACCATTGTAGCATCCTAGTGGTCATGTGATCAAAATCCAGGCGCTTGACAACTGACTCATATTTATGACGGTTAGCGGTGTCAAATGGAAATATGGGAAGCTGACATATGCTAAACCAGGGGTCTCCAACCTTGGCAACTTTAAGCTTGGCGGACTTCAGCTCCCAGAATTCCCCAGCCAGCTTCTGGGAGTTGAAGTCCACCAGGCTTAAAGCTGCCAAGGTTGGAGACCCCTGTATTAAACAATCCTCAGCATAGTTAGCTCACATAATTTGTTCTAACAGCCATCAGCAGTTCTCAAGGATTTCAGTTAGGATTAGGAATTAAAAAAAAAAAACATCTGGAGAAGCCAGATACTGAACCTGGGATCATATGCATAGTCTTTTGACAATTGAGTCCAAAATTTCTGTTGTTAGCGCGACAGTTGTTAAGTGAATTTTGCCCCGTTTTATGATCTTTCTTGCCACAGTTGTTAAGTGAATCACCGTAGTTGTTAAGTTAGTAGCCCGGTTGTTAAATGAATCTGGCTTCCCCGTTGACTTTGTTTGTCAGTAGGACACAAAAGGGGATCCCCGAGATTCTGCAACAGTCATAAGAACATGCAAGTTGCCAAGCCTCTGAATTTTTATCACGTGACCATGGGGATGTTACAATTGTCATCAGTGTGAAAAGCGGTCATAAGTCGCTTTTTCAATGAACCACGAATGGTCACTAAATGAATGGTTGTAAGTCAAGCACTACCTGTACCAATATTCCATACGGAGTGTCGGGAGATTTAAGGCTCATGCCAAAGGTCATTCATTGAGTACATGAATCGCAACTTGGTCCCTGTTGCTGTGTTGCACCAGCTCTCAGCCAACCCATCTGCTGTTTTAAATCCCCTGCAGGCCGAGTTCATTGCCACCCCTCTGAGCTGCTCTCCCGTTTGGATCGTGGAGAAGAAGCCTGGGTCCCACAAATCCAGAGCTCTGATGAAAGTGCAGATGAAGGCCCAATTAAGCCAACACTGAAGCAGTTACCGACGGGAGGGACCTGGTGGGCTCGATACCGGAGTCCTGTGACATACCCCAGTTCAGAGTCTGCAAACTCAGGTTAGAACTGCTGCTGAAGGCATCTGGCTTAACGGGCTAAGGTAGTTCTACCATACCTTGAAAATCTTGGCATTTTAAGAGAGTAGTAGAAGAGCAATCCAATTCTAGCAGTGGGATTGGATCCAGCTCATTGTCTGGGTTCACATATTATGCTAAGTCACAGTGACACTTGGTTTACTGTTTTGGCTTGGTGGGATGCGTTAAACCAGCTATTGTGGTTTGTGGGAATATGACAGGGGTCTCCAAACCTGGCAACTTTAAGACTTGCGGACTTCAACTCCCAGAATTCCTCAGCCATGCTAGCTCAGGAATTCTGGAAGTTGAAGTCCATATGTTGTAAAGTTGCCAATGTTGGCGATCCTTAGTGTAGACCAGGGGTGTCAAACTCAATGTCATTGAGGGCCGTATCAGGGCTGTGGTTGACCTTCGGCCGGGGATGGGTGTGGCGGACTGGGTGGGTATGGCCAGCTTGACGCCACTCCCCAAACTCCTGGCATGTTTCCTCTTCACATTTGGTAGACCAGGCTGGCCCCATCTTTCCTCTTCGCATTGGATAGATCAGGACGGCCCCACGGGCAGGATCCGACCACATCATGGGCCTTGAGTTTAACACCCTGGTGTAGACTGTAATAGTTGGGGGAATACTGTTCCAGAGGGCAGAAGTGGCAACAGAGGAGGCACACTTCTGGAATTCCATAATATATTTCAAGGGGGTGGGGGAGATCCTGAGTGTACCAACCCTGTTGGATAGGATAGGATAGGATAGGATAGGATAGGATAGGATAGGATAGAATAGGATAGAATAGAATAGAATAGAATAGAATTTTTTATTGGCCAAATGTGATTGGACACACAAGGAAATTGTCTTGGTGCATATGCTCTCAATGTACATAAAAGAAAAGATAGTTCATCAAGAATCATAAGGTACAACACTTAATGATAGTCATAGGGTACAAATAAGCAATCGGGAAACAATATCAATATAAATCGTAAGGATACAAGCAACAAAGTTACAGTCATACAGTCATAAGTGGAAGGAGATGTGTGGTGGGAACGATGAGAAGATTAATAGTAGTGCAGCTTAGTAAATAGTTTGACAGTGTTATGGTATAGTTATGGGATGGTAAAGGACAATTGGAGAGATATGCCCCCCCAGAAAAACAACAACAGCAGGTCTTAATGTAAAGATAACCTTCAACACCCTGAATTGCATCCAAATTCCAAGTGGCACTAGTGCCACTTTTGCACTAACCATATAATCCTCCTGCACTGCCACTTTCTCCCACCCCCCCCCCTTTTTTTTTTGGGCTGTAGATAATGATCAAGAAAGTGAAGAAGAGAAGCCTCATCGTGGAAGTTATCCTCACCGTGGAGGTTTTCGACCAACGATCCTTCGCCGAAACTTATTTAATAATTCCAAGGGGAATGGATCACAGAGTCAGAAGCCCAGAGAGGCCTATAAACATGGGTCCCAGTTGAAGAAGCCTTCACAAAATCAGCTAGGAAAGACAAAGGCAGAAACGGGCAATGCCAACGAGAGCTCACAGACCAAAGAAAGAGCTGCAGGAAGGGACCATCCGGTTTCGTGCCCTGATTGCAGACAGATCTTCAAGTCCAAAATATCTCTCTCCAATCACCAGAGGATACACAATATGACAAAGGCCTATAAATGCCCTGACTGCGAAGAAGGATTTTCATCCAAAAAAGTCTTTGACCGCCACCAGAGGGGTCACAGAGCAGAAGCAGGCAACAGACCTTCCTACAGCATTGTGAAGCCTCAAAACATGAAGCTTTATGAATGTTTCGCCTGCAAGAAATCTTTTGAGCTCAGAGAGCAATTCCTCCTACATCAAAAGAGCCACACGACCCAGCAGCCCTATGAATGTGATGAATGTGGGGAAATGTTTGTCCAGAAGGAACTTCTTGACAAACATCAAAATTGCCACACAACACCCAAAAACAACAGAAAGATGGATAAGAAGGAAGAAAAGATGGATAGTACGCCTGAAACTGCAAAAAAGAAAGACAGTACAGCCCCTGTCTCTGGGAGCACAAGACCACTGAACATTGGCCTCAGTAGACAACAGCAAGACCAAGTCAATCTCCATAAATGTCAGTTTTGCGGGAAATGTCTAAGGTTCAAAAGTTTGCTTGTGGACCATGAGAGAATGCACAGGGAAGCAAGGCCATATAAATGTTCCCAGTGTGCTAAGAGCTTCCTTCATAAGGCTATTTTAATGTCACACATGATGACCCATATGAAGCAGGCATCCAGGAAGCATCCCAAAAAAGTTAAAAGCTTGGCTGTGAAAAGTGCCTTGGTTGATTCAGAAATCCCTCACAAAAGAGGAAATCCCTCTAAATCCAGAAAAATCATCACTCGTAGCTCTTACCGCATTTGGCGCCCAAGAAAATGGGTACAGAAAAGCCCCTATCAGTGTCAATATTGTGGGAAATATTTAAGTACAAGAATCATACTTGCTGATCATGAGAAACTCCACACAGGTGAGAGACCGTATAAATGCCACAAATGTACAGACAGTTTCATTCGAAAACACCACCTTTTTCGACATCTAGCGATTCACCTCAGAGAGATCTCCAATGAAGATGTCAAAAGTTTGAGGATCAAAAGTCGCCAGACTATGAGGATCAAAAGACGTCACTATGGACAGAAGGCTTCTGAAGGTCTTCTCCCTGCAAGTGATGTCACTCGTCGCTCAGGACTTGCCAAGCACCCCAAAATCCCCACTCAAGAGAATTATGTATGTCAGCATTGTGGAAAATGCATGAGAACCAAAAGCTCCTTTGTCAATCATGGGAAAATCCATAGGAGAAAGCAACAGCCGTATCCCCACTTGGAACGTGAGGAAAACACCTCCCAGGAAGAACCTTTGGTTTCCCACCAAGAAACCCACGCAGGGGAAAAACTCTCTCTGTGCTCAGACTCCAAAGACAAAACAATCACAAAAGATCCCCCCACCTCCTCCCACAGGGTTTCCCACAGAAGGAAAGAGCCCCACCTCTGTCACAAATGTGGGAAAACCTTTGATGATAACTATTCCTACACCAGGCATCAACGGATCCACTCTGGGCAAAAGCCTTTCAGATGTGCTGCCTGTGGGAAAGCCTTTGTCCAGACATGGCATCTGAAGAGACACGAAAAGACCCACCTGAAAGGAAAATTCCCCGAACAGCCCGTTGTAAGGGAGGTCATCCATGAAAATAGCCACCTGGACCGAAAGCTCTTCAAATGCTCTCTGTGTGGAAAAGACTTCTTTCAGCCGTGGCATCTGAAGAGACACAAGAGAATTCACCTGAATGAAGAATGCCGTAAACTATCTGCAATCATGGACGTCACACGGGCATTTTCTAATTTCCCAAGCACCACAGCTTCTACGGAAGAAGGTAAAGGAGATCCTCTTGGAAAAGCGTTGCAGCTCCCACTTCACCCAGATGAGGTTATCGGCTTGCCACATGCCCAGGAAGAAGCAAGAGACCTGCTGGTGCCCTTAGAAGAAAGATCAGACACAGGAGCTCCAGAAAAGCATATTACCGTGCCAGTGCAATTATCTAGAAAATTCAAAGAAAATATTTTGCTGGGCCATGGGGAAGTCAGCCAGGCAGTGAAATCGGAGAGGAAACACAGAAGAAAGGACATATTCTCTATCCATCAGTCCAGGACCTGCTCCAAAAATGTCCACTCCCAAAGTCATAAGAAGGATAAAAACCACGATGGCTGGCAATTGAGACCACGGGCTTCCTCCATAAGAAAATCTAAGAGAGAAACGCAGCTTGTGAGGAAAAGGCCCAAACGTTGCTTTTGTCAACTAGAAGAACGAGAAATGATCCGCCCAAACGCACCCAACCCCCCCAGGAAAGTAAAATATTGCGATGGTCCTGAAAGCGAGCCCTGTGTGAGTGTTTCCTCCAGTTTGTTTCAAGGTGCATCCAAGAACCACAAGCCAAAGGATCTTTGCCTCGAACTGCCCTGCCAGAAAACATTCTCCAGAGAAGCCCAAATGAAAGTTACCAAAAGTGTTGTGCAAAGGAACACAGTCGCATCTGTGGCACAGGAAAGGGAATCGCTTGAGGCCAATTCCAGCTCTCAGAGTTGTGAGAAAGAAAAACGCAAGCTATCCAATGTCAGGGATCCAGCAGAGACCCGGCCTACACCACGGTTGTCCAAAAGCAAGACCCAGAAGGATCATGACCGACTCTGCCCTCTAAATGCGTGCTCAAATGCTACCGCCCAGAATTTGGGGAGAGCACCTTTGGCTCAGCAGCTGGGAGAGATCCAAAATCCACTAAGGATACAGAAGAGAGCAAAGGGTAGACGCAGTGTTGAACTGCAAAAAGCAATATTGAGGAAGCTCCAGCGCTCGCCTTCTAAGGGAAAAACCGCCTGTGATCAGCAGATGCTGCAAATGAAACACGTCTGCAGTCGGTGCAAGAAATCCTTCCGTAGCCGGACCAATCTCTTGATTCATGAGAAGAACCACACAGAGAACAGACCGTTCCCGTGCATCCACTGTAAGAAAAGTTTCTTTTCTGTGACGGCCCTTAAGATCCACATGCGAATCCACACAGGGGAGAAACCTTTCAAGTGCTCCGAATGCGACTTTCGCTGCAACGTGTTGGGTAATCTCAACAGGCACAAGGCCAACCACAGCCAGGAAGGGCTCCAGCCTTGCATGCATTGTGGGAAAAGCTTTTGGCTGAATCCTGAACTTATGACCCATTTAAAATTGAGTGGCAAGAAGAAGGCTTATGCCTGCCCGGATTGTGAACAAGCATCTATGCACAGGAACCTTCTAAAGCGGAAGAGGAAGAAGTTATGATGCGATTCAGAAACTGAATCCTATTGTGAGAAGATGAGAGACCACATCATTCTTCCAACATTCCAGCACCTTATCTCTTTCAAAATTGGGAACATATTCGAGCACTCTCTCTTGGATTCCTCCCCCCCCCATGAAGCATTAGAGGAGGCCCTAGCAAACACATTTATTCTAGAGTGTCTCACCTCTTTGCTTTTATCTCAATAATATTCTTTTTAAGTTGGGTCAAAAGATCACTTGTGTAACCCCTTCTTCCAGTCCTCCAAGAATTTGGGTGAAACTGCCAGAAAGATGCCCCCCTTTGGTGAAAATAGAGGTTTTTTTAATCAGAAAGATGATCAAAATATTGCCCTTGGAACTTGAGGTGATGGAGGAGAGGAGAGTGACTTAATTTGTATTCCGTGCATTTTTTTTAATTACCCCTAACAAATGCATGGACATCAATCTAGGTTTGCCACTGGTTATTTTCTTAGTTTTTCTGCAGGTTTCTCTGTCTAGGACCAGCCACACAAAATGTTGCATTTTGAGAGGGAGGCCGGAGGCCTGTATAATATAAACAAAGATATTGGAATGTGATCTCCTTAGGTCCTAGTTTGGCCATAATATTTTGAGTCTCTCTTGCAACTTTTAATTTTAGCTCAGGGAAGGTGGTTGTGAGTTGGAATTGCTATCTTTGAATTCAAGGCCCAAACCGGGGCCAAATTGACTTAAGTGTTCTGAAAATTCAACAGATCCAATTATCAGTGGGTCTCCTTGTAGATAATAATCTGTAGAAGATATTGTTTGAGGTACTGTACATTCTAATTGTTTTGCTCATTTTTACTATGCTGATCTTACCTCATTCTCCACCCCTTCTCTGAAATCCTATTTTCAATGCAAAACACCAGCCACAACACAAATAATTGTTTATCTTTGATTAATCACGTTTAATTCAAAGTTGAAATTCTAGTCACTTTGGGCTTACAGCCTTGAATCACTTTATCAATGTCTGAATTTTATATCTTGCTTATACAGTGTATACACTTTATTTTTAAAAAACATTAAATAAATATTTTTTAAAAATACATATTGTTTTCTGTCTGATCATCCTGTCTGATCATCCAATAAATAGTGGATTCTTTCTGATAGAATGTAATTTGTGATGAAATTCTTTTTTATATAATAAGTGCATATTGTAAACAGCCAAGTGTTTCAGCTGAAATGTCTTCATTTATCAAATTTATATGCCACCCTTTTCATAGTTTGAGGTGACCGAGTTTCACATATGTGTTTATCTTATGGGTTCTTCTGACATTTTGCAGTGAGAAGCTCACAGCATGGGTGTTAGGAGATGATGACTCAGTTGCTAGAAAATTACTACTATTCTATCAGATTTGTTAGACTTCTATTCTTTCAGAGCTGTGCACAAGTGCAAAGCAAAATATTTATTGTGGCTTCTCTTGCAGCTCTATTGATTTGTTTTCTTTGCAGCCATTTGACTGAGCTCAGAATATAGAATAACAGAGATGGAAGGGGCCTTGGAGGTCTTCTAGTCCAGAGGTGGACAAATGTAGCCCTTTTACAACCTGTGGACTTCAACTCCCAGAATTCCTGAGACAGCTGTCTCAGGAATTCTGGGAGTTGAAGTCCACAGGTTGTAAAAGGGCCACATTTGCCTACCCCTGTTCTAGTCCAACCCCTAGCTTGAATAGGAGACCCTATATATACCATTCTAATCTCTTAAAAACCTCCAGTGATGAAGCACCTACAAATTCTAAGGAGAACATGATCAATTGTTAGATGCTTTAGGATGGGGTTAAGACATATTTTTTTTCCTTCTTTGCCACCAGGGTAAAACGATGTTTAAAGGCAGTAGATCTTTCTGGACTAGATCATGGCAAACACATAACATTCCAGTGATGGAAGTTGATCACTCGGAGATGTGATAGAATTTGTATTCTCCAAATTCTAGGTTGGATCTCTTCATATATCAAACAAAAAGTGGTACCTTGCAGACATAATAGTTCGCCAACCACAATGACAGGGTTTAAAGAATATAGACTTAATGTGATGTGCAAAAGATTTATTATGATTAATTCAACAAACTAGTTAAGTGTAAATTATTAGCAGCAGGGTAGATTTGGCTTTTCTCCATATATATTCATATGCAGGCTTTGGAATTTGCTTTATAAATGAAACGACCTTGAGTTTGGCTTGAGCGAGGCCAGTTAGTGCAATACGTGAACCTGATCAAAGTTTGATTAAAGGGTCACTTTTATTTTTAAAAGTATGTTCCATCAGACTGTCTCATGGTTTGGATTAAGGAATCCTTTGATTTACAATTAAGGAAATGTGATCATTTGGTACAAAAAGCAAGCTGTAGGCTTTTGAGATACACTGAACATTTGATCAGCTAGGAGTCAGAATCATAGAGTTGGAAGGGAAGTAAGAAGTCATCACATCCAACCCCTTAGCCTGGCTAGGGAATTCTGGGAGTTGAAGTCCACGTATCTATTTTAAAAATAATTTTTATTAAAAGAGTTTTTCAATAGAATAAAAGCACACTTAACAGAAGTGATCAGAAATATAAGAATAGTCTGTTTCTCTTTTCTAATTGTCCAATAATCCCAGAAAAAAAGATTCTGGTTTCAGTTAAAATACTAATTTTTAAACATTATTTGCGTAATTCTGTTTGAACTCAACATTTTCAGGCTTTTAAATAAGTCCACCAGTCCATCAGAAATAATAAAATGATCCTTCATGTTGTCCACATTTCCAGTGTAAATTTGAAGCATGGTTATACATTCTAGACAATTTTTCTGGAGTCATAAGCCAACAATTTCATAATCTCTTAATCTCATTTCATAATCTCTTAAATTTTAATATGAATTTCAATACTTTTAACCATATATTTCCCCATTGTTCCAGCAATATGGTATTTTATCCAAACATGGTATTTTATCATATACTCCTTCACTTGTTCTTCCATTTCAAATTTCAATAAAAGTTTGTTTAGCAATTATATGTTCATCATTTGTACATAATTCCAAGTCCAAAATCTGTCTTCTGCTCAATTTCAAATGTTCTAGTCTACTGTAAATTGTTCCCTTAATTGAAGTCCAGGTGTCTAAAAGCTGTTGAGGTTGAGAAACACTAGCTTAGACCAATAGTCTTAAGTATTATTGTATTTTTAATTTAATTAAAAATTCACACCTATCTTGCAGTCCTGCAACTTTGGGTGGCGGACAATATGTCTGCAGCTCATTGCCTTCTAGTCAACCAACCGCATCTTACTTCAAGGTTATTCATTTCCCCTTTTCCATATTTGTTTACTAAATTTTATGTAGGTGGCTCGTAACACATTGCCTTGAACAGACTGCAACACAAATTCTTATCAAGAGGATGCGTTCCTTATTATTAGAAGATAGAATTTATAGAGGAGTATTTCATAGATCCTTGTGCAGGCATTAACGTAGGTTTCACAGGGTCAGCAATTCGCTAATGAAATAATGGCAATTTCTTTCCATTGTTCCTCAGAATCACCTAGGAGACATCCAGCCTTCCTCAGTCTGGTAGTTTAATGCTCTCAGTTTGCTTCCAAAAAGCCATTGCTGCAAGAAGCAATCTCAAAAATGGATGCAGTTACTTTAAAGAGCTGCAGACAGAAGGTTGATCTGTTGCTGGTGGTAGGGCTTCAAAGCACCCTTTCAAAATTATTTCCAGAGAGCTGCATAGTCCACATGTAAAGATCCAATACATCTGGTTGGTTCCAGATTGGAAAAGGCTAATCCCATGGGCTGATTTATTTATTCTTTTATTTACTTACATTTATTTCCCACCTCTATTATGCAATGAATAACTCAATTGTTGGCCAACAAATCCAACACAGCTTCCTCCTCCTATTTTCCCAACAGCATTAACCCTGTGAGGTGGGTTGGGCTGAGAGACAGTTGACTTTCACTCAGCTGACTTTCATGGCTAAAAGAGGACTTGAACTCAAGGTTTTCTGCTTTCTAGTCTGATGCCTTAATCAGTAGCCCAAACTGGCTCTGATTTGCACCATCCTGGGTGATAAAATGTGTGTGTGTGTGTTCTGTATGTATAATTATAATATATATATTCCCCCAAATGTGTTTAGAGCAGGGGTCTCCAACCTTGGCAGCTTTAAGCTTGGCGGACTTCAACTCCCAGAATTCTGGGAGTTAAAGTCCGCCAGGCTTAAAGCTGCCAAGGTTGGAGACCCCTTTTCTAGAGCTTTGCTTTGCTGGATGAGGAACTTTGGGAGTTGAAGTCCACAAGTCTTAAAGTTGCCAAGGTTGGAGACCCTTGTTCTATAGCAAGCCAGAGCAAGCATAAAAAAACATGGGGATTGTTTTGAATAGACACGAGACTATTTGAGTAGAGAGTAGAGTAGAGTAGACCTCTACTTTAAAACCTTCACTTTGATATTTAAAAAAAAAACATCTTCCAAATTTGTTGTGGCAGCATGAAAAAAACCCCTAAAACTCCTTCCACAGATCACTTTTCAGATTTACTAATTGCTTTTTCTTCCTGGCAACCTGCAAGAACTGTGTTCCTTTTGCCCTTCCTGGTTGCCTTATATTGTTGTATAGTATTTCAGACTGTATTGCTGAAAATCCTTTCAGCTCCCTTTTGTCATTCAAGTAAGCCTTGCAGCCTAGATGGTCCAGAGTTTTTGCTTGGGGCATGACAAAGCCCATTTCCTAAGTCATTCTTCTCATTGGGGGACTACTTAACCGGAGGCCCTACACAACAGACAGATTCCTTACTCATCAGAACAGTTTAGAGAAGAATAAAAGGAGTTGTTGAAATTTGACCCCCCCCCCAGACATATCTCTACAGGGGGCTGTTATTTCTTTGAATAAATTATTAGCTTTAATTTGGCCAGATCAGATGGTTAATTAAATATATCTCCTTCAAGTCAAAATCAGCTGCAGTTTTCTTGGCCATAAACCTTGGATCTTTTCCCAGAATGTTTTTCTGCAATAGCCCACTCTGGTCTGCTCTGAAATTTCCCTGATTAAATCTCACTTAACTATAATCTCAAACAGCCCAGTTAGATTTCTAGCCTAGACAATGTCAACAGATGCTGCCACCTGTTGAAGCCTCTCTGGATTACAGGGTACGAATGATGCTTCGGAAAACTCACCGAACCCAACCTTCTCCATGTAGAAACTTGGCATAAGTTGCCAGCCAATGAAATGGTTTAAGGTTTCCATCCGAGAGATATTTGTGGGGGTCCTTGGTGTTCTCTGAGCTTGGTGGTTTTCTTGTAGATGTTTCATTACCAAACTAGATAACATCATCAGTGCTAGTAAAATCACCAAGCTTAGAGGACCCCACAGTTCAACCCTAAGCTAGAAATATTGTATCAGTAGATAGATGTTTACTTCATCAATTCTCCACCCACACTGTCCAAATTATTAGGACTGAAGTCCACTGGGTGGATAGGAGGGTTATGTGCCATCAAGTCAGTATCATCAGTGAACCATGGTGGTGCAGTGGTTAGAATGCAGTACTGCAGGCTAACTGACTTCTTACTGCCAGCAGTTCGATCCTGACAGGCTCAAGGTTGACTCAGCCTTCCATCCTTCCGAGGTGAGTAAAATGAGGATCCAGATTGTTGGGGGCAATAGGCTGGCTCTGTAAACCGCTTAGAGGGCGGTAAACCACTGTGAAGCAGTATGTAAGACTAAGTGTTATTGCTATTGCTTTCTCTTAGCCATCACAGAACCAATCGATCCCCAGTCTGGCCCTTCGGATCTTCTAATAATCCACCTACCATAAGGCTGGTCATCCTCTTCTTCTCTTTTATACCACCTTTCCTAGCGTTATGGATTTCCACGTCCTCAAGGGGGATGACAGAATATCTTCAAGTCACAGGGGACTCCTGGTGACTTCACACAACTTTATAGTTTTTTGTTTGTTTGTTTTTTTCTTTTGCTCCTGACTTCTTTCAGTGTAGTTTTGTTTTCTTAAAATTGCAATCTAGTCTATAGTTCTGATTTTCCTGATAGCCTCCCATCTACA